CATTTACTGGTAGTCTCGAAATTCTACTCCAATACGAAAATCATATACTTTACTTTTGGTTTCGTTTTAGTCTTTTTTTACGAAACCTTATGCCAACTTTGTTTTTCCAAAGTTCTTCATACTGGACCCGGCATCTCCGGTGTGATTGGTCTCTCACATCGCCCAGTCTTCGGCATATGGGCCGAGGTCGTCTCCACCAGCCTTCGTCTACTCGAGGCTGCCTCTTCCCTGCCTCCACAGGCAGTTTTTGGAGTGAATCAGGCCTGGGACTCGCAGCTCAACTCCTCCACCTTTCATTCTCACCGATTAGTTTGTACGCAACGCTTTCTCGCCCGAGCCTATTCGAACAATTGCCTAATGCCCGTGATTTCTGAGGCTATGCCAGGCAGTCGAGCTAGTCGAAAAGCCTCCAGAGAGGCTCGACTAAGCGCTTGGACGTGGGCACACCTCGAGCCCGAGTCTCAGCTCCGAAACCCTGCGTCTCCGCCTCATCCCGCTTCCGGACTCGCTGTACACCCGTTCACACAACCCTTTCCCTCACCGTCCCAGACGCCTCTTCCCTCTGGTGCGGCCGAGCTAGCGAGTGCTCCGTTGCATCCAATCCATGTTCTTCTCTTCTCCAACCCTGTCGGCCACAATAGGGTTTCAACTGCTGATGGAGTTTTCGCGTCAGAAATGAAGAAAACTTCGGCAGTCGCTGGAGAAGACGAGGCGGAAAGAGCCAGACTACTGCTGCTACGCCTGGCGCTTGTCTGTCCGCCTGACAATCTTCCAAAGCCGCTCAAAATGGTACTTCAGCTAATTGTTGAATTGTATGCATCTCATGATTTGGAGGATAACGGTTGTGTGGCCCCTCGTTTGCTCGCCATATCTTTCGCTGTATGGAAGTGGCTTGAGCTCGTTTTGCAATTTGGTTTTATTGTCAGTACGACCTTGTTTGACAATTGCTAATGTCGGACGGTAGACTTGGTACATTTTAGCAACGGTTCGCTGGCATCATCATCATTGAATCCTGCCATTCTCAGCAACAAGCTACAATTGGTCAGAGAGGC